ATTCCTGTTACTTTAATGACAGTTTATGAAACAGATGCTTATTACACACATGTTCATTAGCTACAGGAAATGTTCTTCTTAGCTGTGTGGTATTATGGTTTATGGTTTATGTTGCTTCCACAAAGAAGACTAAAAAGTCAGTTACAAAGCTCTGAAATTTAAACCAAAGTCACAGCTGGTTATAGGCAGTACCTGTTAGTCCTTTCTGTAGCCCTTTTGGTTTTGGGGCAGATATCTCTTATTTCTGAGTGTATCAGGATTGGTACCGCTTAATCTGAAAACTTTAAAAAACTCTGGGTTTTGTCGTTGGTTGTGAGTTTGGTGTTTTTTTTGTTTGGTTTGGGCTTTTTTGTTTTGTTGTGTTTTGGTTTTTTTCAGAGCATATACTTCCATTGTGCTTAAGACTGAATATTTTTATTCTTGCATCTTAGCTTGATGTTTATTGCTTGTTAAAACAACCAGGCTTTCTATAAGACTTTGACATCTCTTGTTCTTGGCCCCCCAAAATTAGTTTGTGCTTGGCTAATTAAAGCATGAGGATAGACAAAATACTTAACTCACATTTCTATTCATTGTTGAAGATCAAAGTAAACGCTTTCTCTGTAGTGTTCTCTATTTTTAAAAATAATTTTAATCAGGCCAGTTGTTGTGCTTTTTTGTGCCAGATTTTGGAACTTTTTCACCATATAGTATAGTGTGCATGTCATCATTAGCTTTCCAAGTACCGTTCCTCTGCTTTCTTGCCAATCATAACAATCTCTGATGCTGTGATGTTATTGTGATAACACAGAATTCTTCTGAGAGGGGAAGTGGAACTTAATTGGAATGGCTAATTTTCCCTGTCAAACAGGTGCAAGGCTGACTTAAATGTTCGTAAAGTATTCAGGAAAGAGCCATGAAAGTTATTAAGGGATTGGAAAATATGCCTTCAAGTGTTTCTTTAAATAAAATAAAAAATAAAACAACCTGGTAGCTGCATATGACTACCTAAATTATGAGGAAAAAAATGGATAAAAGATGGATCCTCAGTCTAGCAGAGAGAAGTATCACTAATTGGTTAAAGTTTAGTCCTAATTCCTTTGGATTTAGGGAGCTCATTTATGCAGTGGTCTAGTTAACAGTTTACAGCAAGCTGTTATATGTTCTGCTGGGTTCTCTGCCTCTGAAAAGACATATCCTAAGTAGAATGGGAAATTCTTCTGAGGAAGATCTCTTAGCTAAAATATGCATTAAGGGAAGTTTCTTGGCCTTTGATTGCAGATCATACTAGATTGCCATGTTCCTGAATTAGGTGCAGGTGTCTTTGACCCTGTCAGACTCTTTAGAAATACACATAGTGCCAGAAGATCACAGGTATTGCCAAGTATGATAAGTGAGAAAGAAGCATAAACTGGGCATTCCTTTTGTCCCAATCCTTTTGTTTTCCTGGAGCAATCTGTCTTCACAGTCCCTGCTATGAGGACAAAGATATTTTTTGATCGAAACAAGAGTGAGACTGTAGGCATGTTATTTAGATGATGCACTGGCTTCAGTCCTCTATCATAGGAGAAAAAGTGGTGATCTGAGATAACTGAGGATTAGAGTGCAATATGTGCAATGAGTAGTCAATGTCAAAGCAGATATCTTGATTCAAGCACTGTATGCCTTTAGAAGATTTTTTCATTTGGGGCTCTATAAACTGCTCTATTAAAGTTGTTACAAATAAGTGAACAGAACATTTGAACTTCTGTAGGAATTCAAACAAAGGTGTATGGCCTCTCAGTTCTGACTCTGCAACAGTACTTCTCTAGCAGTTTTCAATCTCAAGCCCATGTAGTTAGTTGTGTACTGTTTTAAAAGCTTAGTCTATAGCTTCAGCTGGTGCTCCATTTGTACGTTCTGCTGTTTTAGTTAGTCAAAGATTAAGCATTTGTTGTGGAATCTCTAGAAAATGATCAACAGTAAATGTACTTCTGAGTGACTCTGATGCATTACTCTATTTAGTTTAGGAGTCTAGGGTCTAATCATGTAGATGCTTATTTGAGTTTACTTTCAACCGAGCCAGTCTGCGGTAATTGTATAGCCACAGAGAACCTTATATTCACTTGTTAATATTTACAGAACTGAGACAGTATTTCTAATACAAAGGCAGAAAGAGAAGTGTGCTGTATAGAATATTAATCTGTAAACAGAAAGAAAGAAGGGGGGGCATTAAAAAAAACAGCAAAGGACTTTAATGTGAAAGCTTTGTAAACATTTTAAGGTGCATGAGGTTATGTTTCTTACATGTTTTCCCGTATGATATGTTTTAATTTTGTAGTATGCTTCAGTTATAGTGCTTCAGCTGACAAGATGTGTGAAACTCTTAGATAATTAAAACAGTGTACTGCATAGACCAATACTCCAGGTAGATAATACTTATTTGCCTTCCTTATATTGTGTAATTAAAATTTCACTCATTTAAGGAAATGTTCCTTAAATCCAAGATCAGGCTTTGCAAAGACTTCTTGTTAAAATAAACAGCATGATCTGCAGAGAGCTCTCACTGTTAAGAACCACTTTTAAACAGTCACCATCATTTCTGCAGTGTCTTTAGAAATGTAATTGGACAGATGGAGGTGCTGGATTGGCACTGTAAGTGTCTTTGCGCTGAGAATAGTATCAATAGCTATTAATAACTGTGAAAGGCTCTCTAGATAAATTAGTAGAGTAGCGACCTTATAGCTACAGAATGCTATATGTCATTCAAGTAACATAAGAAAGTACAAATAAAGACTTACTAAGTGTTGATTTTTAGTCTAGTATGAATGTCAAAAGTATTGTATTTTAGTTATGTAATACTTTCTCTAAAACAAAAAAGAAAACTAGAGATAGTCACCAAAGTACTGCTACAGAATTTCTCCTGATGAATGTAGGAGTGACTTCTACACATGTTTGCTTATTTTTAAAGTTTCTGCTTCTTGAGGAAATAAAAAAAAAAAATAGATCATAGGCTCAGTAACATGCAGAACACTACCATCTAAAATCCTAGCATTTGCATATTAAAAGCACTTACAGTATATTTCACTGAAGTATCTTGTGATTTTTAACTTTACATCACCATCAATGCAGCCTCACTTGTGGAAATGATTTTTTGTTTGCCTTCCATATTTCAATATAGGTAAATTATGTCCTCTTTAGACGTTACAAAGGAGGTTATTCAGTCCTTCTCACTGGTCCTTCTCTTGTTTTTGCTTTGGAGGAAGAGGTCAAAGAGGTTTATTAGTGTATTGCCTGTTAATTGCCCCATATAAAGAATTAAATCGTGCAAAGGTAGGTGCCTCAGGGCAATTTAAATTAGTTTTTTAATATAAAAGTAATATATATTTGTTCTATTTCTTGTCTTTGCAATTTAAAATATGTGTACCCAAAATGACAGGAAATCCTACTGTATATAAATATTTCATATTCTTTCCTTACATAACTGATTTTCTATCAGGTACATGTTAGCAGATGTCTTATTCTACTCTGGATTCACCTTTTCAATTGAGTGCAATTGCAAATGTTTGTTTTAAAACGTGTCCCACCTTAAAACAAACAAAACAAAAAGACAGCACTGTACTACAGGCTGTGGCATCATAGGAGACATTTTATTTGTGATCAAATTAGAATCTGGGTCTTAGGATTTGAAAGACAAACGCATTAATCCCCTGAAAGATTCAGTCAGTCTCTGTCAATTCTAATCAGGTAAAGGCATTGGTCATTTTGCTTCAAAGCAGTTGGAGGGATTTTTTAATTCAAGGAGATGGCCTTTTTATTTCAAGCTTATTTCATCTTTCAGATAATAATGTACTTATTCCATATGAAGTACTGCAGGATTTAATACACTCATATATCCCTTCAGCTATCGCAGTTCTCTGTAATTTGCAGAAATCATTTGTAGCCATCAGCACCAGCTAGTAAGTAGGACACAAAATTGTGCTTGTTTTGCTAAAATGGGCTGGGGGGTGGGAAGGAGGAGGCTGTTGGAGCAGGTTGGGACGTTTGTCACTTAAGCTGATGACTTAAGAGAGTGAATTTATCTTGGTTTAAAAGAGGATATCTGGCAAGAACTTTGAAGCAAGGGTCTGCATGTAACTGTGTTTTCTGTGTAGAACATAGACAAGCAAGCTTACCTGGTAAACTGAAATTAAATTGTGTTTTTAATACCTTCTGTGCAACAGCAGCAGTGCATGGAACTGATTTAAAACTGAACAAATTAGTTCGCATTACCCAGGTGAGATCTTGTGATGAGAAAGTTTCTAAATCTAGCAAGTTCTGGGGTGAGTAGTAGCATGTTTTCTGATGCCACAGTATTAGTAAAAAATGATCGTATACAGAATATCCTTAATGCCCTTTAAATAAAAGCAAGGTATTGCTCATAGC